AAAAAACGCCGACGTAAGAAGCCATGTCAAACTAGTAAAAGTAAAGTGAGGCAATCACGATTATCGCGAAAATTAATTCCTTTTTTCACCGGCGCGATTTACTCTCACCTACGAGACCAAGGATTAGAAAACAGAACACTCACTCTATGACTAAGATACTGATTTCTTATACATATCTCACTATGACTAAGATACTGATTTCTTATACATATCTCATTATTTCTCCTCAAAAACTTTTCCAGTAAATTCCAATAAAAATAGAATATTAGATTTACGTGGGAGAATCACATTCATATTAAAACATTGAAATTTGAAAAGAAGATGATAAATGATCAAAGAAACTCATCATGAATTTCCTCTCATAAACTTTTCCAATAAAAAATTCCAGTAGAAATAGAAATTAAAGTAGAAGAATTATATATTTTTAGTAAGACATTGAAATTTAAAAAGAAGACAATGAATGACCAATGTGATTATAAAAACAAATTATTATTACTAGAAATACTTGGTATGAAATACTCGGCAGATATGAACCCAATTTGATGATCGGACGCGATGTTTCGCGGTGTGTTCTGTTTTGCCTTCGCTAGAAAATCGCAAGGTATAATCGCGTTTGGTCAAACGTATTTCGCATGCATTAGCATAATTCGATCTATCACCGCGCTGCCGGTTGGCCGAACTCTTTCAACTTCGGCGATGACACGGCGACAAATGTTTACGGTTGACGTTGATGTATTCAAACGACACATATCTCGTGCTGCTGGCATAACTTACATCAGGGATCACAGGCGATGACGTTGGCCAGATATTTCACAGGACTCGCCGAAATGTCTATCGTGTCTGTATATTTTCAAAAATAAGAGTGACCTCGCGATCGCGTACACACACACACACACACACACACACACACGTGATATTTTTCACGCGTGGCATGAATTCCCAAGTCGAGATGAGGATTTCATTCTGGAAATTGGAATTTGAATATGACGCAAGATCGGAAACGTTTCGCTCAATCGCGAAACGATCGTTAGCGATATTGACGACGGCATGTAACGGCGGCGACTAAATAGTGGAAAGTTTCAAAATTTCGTCAGGTCGGATATAGATAATGATACCTTATCCCTCCATATACCGGATAGTGCTCCACCCACGTGTGTATGTATATATATAACTATACACTCACAATTTTATTGTACGCGCAAACTACCGGAGCTCGAGCTACTTTCTATATCGGATAGATGGCAAGTAGCTGCTCCGTTATCTTCTTCACGTTGTTAATTTGGGTTCATGTTCTATTTTTTGCCGTCTCGTATCTTTGGAGGTCACTACCTTATAAGCAGCGCTGGTGTTTTATCAGTGAATAAGAATATCTCAACTATATTCGTTGAAAAATGTGCCTTCGCTCAGTATCAAATTGTTCGTCTAAAAGACGATCTATGCTCCTACCTTCTCCCCTCTCTCTCTCTCTCTCTCTCTCTCTCTCTCTCTCTTTTATATATATATTTATTTATTTATTTATTCCAAAACCGACATATTTATTCCAAAGATATGCTGACTGAGTAACGATTCTCGCAGGCACATCGCCTCTCCGAAAGGCAAACCGCATCAATTGCAGAGTGTTTCGCTGCTAACGGTAGTTTTCACTCGCGAACACTACTTGGTGATACGTGTTCGCGGATCTTTTTACGATTTTCGAAAGTATTCCAAAGTAGTTACATTTCCACGTGGCATAAGCAAGCCTCTAGCCGCTTACCGCGGCGTTCTACGGCAAGAGATAGGGATTATGAGATAGTACGTGACCCGCATCCTAATGCCTGTTCTTCGCAACTGCGCGCTATTAAATTCAAATTAATTCCCAAAGACTGCCGAGCGCATTCCCGTGATTATAAATCAGCTGCTTCACGTCGCGATCGTTCGGAAACTGGAGAAAGTGCGCGCGAATAAGCGCGTCGACGGTGCCGTTTTTTCGTCGAGATTTTCTCAGGAAGATAGAATCCACAAAAAGCCATTCGGACTTAATCGATTCTTCCCACGATTCTTCCGTCCCACCATCTCTCCTCGTTGTTTTCCTCGTCATCCATCAAGACTTTCGCGCATTCATTGTTATTGGGAACGCGCGACCTCGATGATATGTAATACCGTCGTGACTTAATTAACATCTCGCAACGCGAGAGAAGGCAGAGCCACCGTGAGCCGTGTAACAAGCATCCCGACGAAAAGGAGAGATCGAATCGCTAGAGACGAAGTTCTCGAAACATTTTCCGGCAAACAGAAGGAAAGGCAGCCTCCAGTGGCGGTAATTATACGCATCTCTCGCCCCATAAGTATCAACTAATTTCATTAACGGGAATCCCCGCGTGCGACGTGCCTCGTAAAAACGTCCAACAACCGTGTTTCCCGACTCGGTTGCGTTATGCACTTTCTTTCCTAGAGAAACGACCGAAATGCGCTCGTTAGAGCAACACAAGCCGCTTTCTAGATCGAAGCACGCCGCCCATCGAAAATTCTAACCGCGTTTCGCCCCACGGGCCGATCGCGTCGAATCAGAAATGTAATCGCGAGGATTCGCTTGGGAAGGATCGCGCGAGGATGCATTATTAGGTCAGTGTTATTTTATCAGATCAATATTGTATAAGCTCGGTTCTCCAGTCCAACTTGATTGCCCTGTCTGCGTTCAATGGGAACAAGTGGCTCGTCCAACCGAGCGCCATCATCTCACCGTCTCGTAATAGTCTGTGATCCTTCGTCGAAGTCTTGGCAGCGTTCGCGCACCTCCACAGGGTGGCCCAGCTTCTCTGGCCGGGGGAAAATCGAACTTCTTCACTGACCCGATAGATCAGCTGAAGAGAACCGTCGCGGGAAGCGAAACGTTCTCGAGAACGCATCTCGACTCGTAAAGTCACGGTGAAATTGAAGTCGCGCGAAACGCGAATCATTCTGTTAGCGGAGCCGAAGGGAAATTTTTTCCTCCGGCTTGCCGATCCGTCTGAACGTCGCCCGCATAATAATGCACATCGCGGCTTCCGGGTGCGGCGTACCGCGCGATATATAACGTTACTTGCGCGCGAATCTAATTTCACGGACGACCGGGATACATGAAGGATGCGGCTGATGCGCGAAACTCGACAACGCGGCACGCATCTCGCGCGATGAGAGAGAAATTCCCGCGCAGTCAAATCCGATTTCCGACCCAATTTTCCGAGCCGCGAACGGTCTAGAGCGTCGCTTAGCATGCGCTCCGGCTGCAACCTCCTCCGCTTTCTTCCTTTCTTTCACCGAGCAAACCGCCGCGGCGTTTACGCTGACGATGACGACGTCGTCGAGGAATATTCCGTGGAATAGGAGGTCGCGCTGCTTCGCGAGGCGATCCGCGAGTTTAAGGTCAATCTCGAAAGCAGGAACGAACGGTCGCCAAGCCTTTCCGTCTTGTTACACGATCGATTCCACCTGCACAACGCGTCATTCCTTCGCGCCAGGCTCTTCCGCGCAATCCCGCTTGTTTCTCTCGCCAATCAAATGGAGAATTTTTCAGTTATACGGAGCTTTCGCAGTTACACGGCAAGAAACATCTTGCATTTGTGTCGACATCGATCCGTGCAGAAACTTTTGCGTTAAATTTCCCACGTAGTCGTGTGCGTTAATTCGATATATCGCCGTCGCGTTATCTCCACTATTCCGTGCCGAGCTCATACTCGCCATTTCTAAGTGTTAAAATAACACAATTTATATGTAAATGCGCTAATTCTTGTTGGCATATGTAAGGTGTACAGATAAGTTTGTTTTATTTGTTGATATATTTATATCCCCCCCTCGTGTTCAATCAACACAATCTATATGTAAATTCCTGAATTCTTGGTGACACATTTTATATGTAGAATGTAATTTTATATGTTGAATAATAAGTTCTGTCATTTGTTAACATACTTGCCTTGTGTTAAATTTTAAACACCAAAATTAAATAAATTGAGACGTGTGAAATGTGTTAAATTTAACACAAAATTTTTTGCAGCTTACAAATCTTTCTCTTTCTGCTTGTCGCTCTCTTCCTTTTTCCCTCTATCTCTCGTCATAAATTGCAAATCATGCAGAGAACTGAAAAAAAAATCCGAGGCCGAACTTCAGGGACGCGTGTGACGCAGTATTGGGTATCAATCGATCAAAATATTCTTTGACTAAAAAAATCGGCAAATCAATCGTCATACGTAAGATCACAAATAATTTCATCACTTGTTGAAATTAATTATCAATTAAACTGAGATATAATTAATTTAATGACTATTGACTGATTAAAAATTAATTTCCTCAATCGACTAAATTATTTGTAATTATGTATATGAGACAATTAACTAATTTATTGAATATTGACTTGCGGACTATTGTGGTCAAAGAAAACTACCATCGATCAATGCCTGACACTGACGTGTCGCTCATCGAGCGAGCAGAAAGAAAATATTTATAAAAACGTGTTTTCGAAAAAATTAATCAACTTGAATTAGCGTTCCCGACCAACAGCTGGCGACAGAATGACGTTCTATGTCACGTGTATATCTGTCCGAAATCTATATCGAGTTATCATTCATACAAAAGTAAATACAGACATGTCAGTCACTTGTAAATACACTCGCATGTACTCGAGGTATTATCTAGTCAAACATTTGCTCTAGATGAAGATGACAGTTCACTCTCGAAAATATATAAGTCATTAAGGAATAGGAATATTTTATAGACGGGTGTATTCTTGATCTAACGAGATTTCATTATCGCGCGCGCGTGTGACGAACACAAAGAGATGCTGTTCACGGGCGATCACGATCGCTGCGGACCCGTACGATTAATGGAACGAAACGTTGAAATAAACTCCTAACCGGGCCGGTGCGCCTGACCCGTTACTTCCAGAATTTCGCAAACGGGACTCCCACTTTCGTTTTCCATCGAGAGCCACACACGCCCGGGGCCGTTATCGAGCCGTTGGTGAATGTACCGTTACATTTCGTACTCACAGGGCGCCTTGAGCTTCTTTTTCGCCGTCTGCATGCTGCCGTTGGATCTGAGCGTGATGCCGATGCTCTTGGATTTCGCGACCGAGCTCTCCACGACACCCGGTGGAGATATTATGCCACCTTGCTCCATATCGGCGCAATTAAGAGATCACTGAAAGATAGAGGAGCGTTACGCCGCTGCGAATCTAACAGATGAAATATTAGCCGATTTTATCTTATCTAAGCGTCATTGCGATAAATCATGTGGATCTCTGCTCAGCGACTCTCTTGTCAATTCGACGGAGTTGAAACGAGGAAAAATAATAGGACCGAGTTAGTGCTGTTGATTTCGACCACCCAGGTACCCGAGTCTTTCGAATATTGCTCCAACATGTTGACTCGAGAGCTTCACGCTTAGTCGGGCCGAAAGAATGTTTATTTTGCGTCTGTATACTTTCTGCATATGAGCAATTTGCGGCTAAAGTTAATTTATCCATAGTTATACAAGAACGTTTCAACTCACAAAATTATGATTTTTTGTTAACGGGTAGTCCATACGTCTTTCTACGTAAAACAAAATAAAATCCAAGTCTTATGAGTGTTCAAGATTAATTGAAAAACACTTTTTTATTTTCTATTAGTCGCGCCATTTTTTATTAGTCTTTTTTATCCAATATTTTTCTAAGGGTCAAACTTGCTAATGAATATCTTTGAACAGAAAATTGATTATATTTGACTTTTTGAACAATTGCGAAGAACCATGGTGTTATCTATATTTTTTAAATCATGTATCAAATTTTCATATCTATTTTTCTCCAAATGCACCTTGTGTTAAATCATTCTTGCATAAGTATTTAATGATTGACCTTTGTCCGCACAGGTCCAGGAAAGTGTCACTTATTTATCTAAGTGTCACTTATTTATCAAGCGCGGTGTATCTGATTTGTATCTATCTGATTTGAATTCGATTTGAGTTAATTACATTGATAAGAGTTACACAGAAGGTAGTTGAAACGTCTTTAACGAATCTGTACAATTTGCGATTTCATTCGTATCATATACACATATGTTTAACATCTATGATAACATAGTGCGATTTTACACACTTCTACGCACTTCTAATCTTATTAATTTTTTTACCTTTCCTGATCTTTGCGACCAAAGAGCCTTACTTATCATTTAATTAGCTATCTTATAATTATATTTACTACTTAATTTGACGAATACCCGAAATAATTGGATATTTGCATTTGTTATTGATTTTTTAACAATAACAAATAACAAACGAACGCACGTTCGTAACTATCTGTCATTTGGTCGCCCGGTTTAATAACCGCGAGTGTGGGTGTAGCCGGCCAGGTACAGAAATATCCGGGGGTCGTACTAACAGCACTCTGGACCGAGCGCGAATTCGAGAGTGTAACGCACTGCCGGAGGGCGTCATTTTCCCTGATCAACAAAACACGTGTTTTCAATTAGCCGCTATTAGTACCGATCAGTCCCGGAAAAAATCCCGACAAATTTGCGCCAAATGTTATGATAGAGTGTTGTTGAGTTTCGAGCGCACGGTGACCGCGGGCGAATCACGAAATTACGATCGATCGCCCGGCGCGAACTCGCCACTCGCTGGCTTCGCGACATTAGAATGCCAAGCGCGCGGCTCTTCAGTCGATCGATAATAATGCAAATAGCGTTATCTTGTTGGACTTAGGACATTTAGGCGGGATTACATCGTCACGTCGAGCGATCGTATCATCGTGCAAATAACGAGCGCAAGTTATGGAAGCTGACCGCCGCTAATTGAGTTCCGCGAGCTGTCGGACGTTTCGCTTTGACGTTTCGCACGCGTGCGGATAATTGAATCGTGCGCGACTCGAGATTGCGCGGCTGCATCCGCGCTTAATCGGCTTCGTGATCAAGCGAACGTGTATGTGGTCGCCGATTAATCATCTATCTATCGTTCGCGCGGATCGCGCCGCGACTTTCGCGATTTGTGCGTCGGCCGACATTTGAAATCGCGTGCCGCGCATACCGCGCGCATTTCGTCGTCACGCGTCGCTAATTGTGCGTTATCTAAGTCACGGAGGAACGCCAGTTGTTTTAGATCGTGGTTTGGTTAACTTAAGTTAGGTTTCTTAATCAAGGGAAGCGAAAAAAGCCGACAGCTAATCCGCTCGTTATCTGTCGCGCTGACATCCTGATTTCTCGCGATGGTCTTTGAATATCTTGAATTGTGTAATTTTCCGTCTCTTTTTGACCGAAAACACACATTTTCCGCTGCACCGTTGACCGTTATCGGTATTATGCGGTAATTGTGCGCTTCTCGGTCTGACAATGTCGCGAATTCTACTTGACGCGACAGTTGCAGCAACGTCAATTAAAAAAAGTTGTTAATGTCCGCGCCTTCGATAACTCAGAATTTTTCTTTTCGAGTTCGGAGGTCAGCTTACGCGGACACTACGTGCTGACCGGAACTGGTACAGGGTAGTCGTTCACAGTCTCGCAACCAAATAAAAGAAATGCCGGAGATTCGGTGTACTTCTTGCTCTCTTTATTGTACGATAACGAGCGGCGACTTCCTATGCAAACTTGCGGCGCGCGTTTTCGTCCATCCTTCGCGTTACGTTGCTCGCTCGAGAGTTGTGGCCAGTCTAGACCTGATACTATTGTCTATTACGAGACAAAAGGCTTCGAGATCGTTTGACGAGCGACCGTGAGAAGGACGGAATATTTACAATTCGGATAATATGTGTGTGGTCTCGACGAACGCTCTCGAAGCATTCGTAATGACAAGACGGCTGTCGCTGGGCCGTTTCCACAGTAAGTATTCGTAAGAATATAACGCGAACATTCTCAACAAAAGTATATAAATAAAATCGGTGGTTTTACGGGAGGAATTGTGTAGCTAAAATTAGAATAGATGTACAATTTTGTAACTATGAGGTGTTTCCTAATTGCTGAAAAGTTGTTGTCGAAATCAGCGTTTTATCGTTATAATAATATAAATGTTGATAACGTATAGAAAGAACATGCATAGATTAGTTTCAATAAGAACTTTTCAAAAATTAGGGAGAATCTCACAGATGTTACGAAATTGAGGATTCTGAGACTAAACGCTGCGAGTTAATCGCGAGACTTGACAGATGAACGGGAAAGGTAAAATTTTGTAACCGGAGAATAAATCGACGTTCTTTCTTTCATTTCGTATGGGCTGCTGGCATTTTGGGAACTAAAATATAATATTAAAAGTTTGTTATATTTGCAGCGAAGTTTATCATGCTCCTACACAAAATAAGCTTTACTGACAATCTATTCTTGTGCTACTAGAAACATATAATAAAACTGAAAAAAATTTTTACGAGAAAAGAATATTATGATATCAAGAATATTATGATTTCGTTAATCGGCTTATCGATCATGTATCTTCCAACTGATATTATCATCTTTTGCTAATCTGCCTTCGATCGATTACGATTGAATTTTCGAAAATCATGTTTGCACGCATTCACTTATCGTGTATCGATATCGATCGAAGCGATCGCGTAAAATTCGCGACGTTCCGTCAAGAAAACGAGATCGCGGGAAAGGAGGCGAATGCTGGGCGATTGTCGCAGAACGGCTGCTGTGCTACTTACCCCGAGAAGAACACGTGAATGCGGTGTGCGTCTCGAGATCGCCGCCCAGTTCCGGCGGAAACGCGGTGATTCCGTGAGATTCCGTTTGAATTCCTCCTCGAGCGACCCGCGCTTGATGTCGATGCACGTGACGACGGTGATTGACGCACGTCGATTCGGCGGATCGATGAGCGGCGCTCTATTGTTTATGTCCCGTCTTTTATTGCTACGCGGTTTGGAGGAGACTGCTTTCGCGAGGCGCGCTCGCCTCTATATGTAGAAACCCTCCACTGCCAACGGTCGCCGGCCGTCAGTCTCCCGTTATGCTGTTCCGTGTGTGTGCACGGCCACGCGAACACACGATCGCAAAAGATACGCACGTTCCTCCTGCCGAATTATCGAGATGCCGCCGCGCGCTCCCTCGACCATGCTTCCGCGTCGGGAAATATTTACTACTCATTTACCCCTCGTGTTATTGTATACGTGAAATACGTGAAAAATATGAAATCGAAATAAAGCCACCAGCTATTTCAGCCGGAGCCTTGCGCGTCGATCGATCATCTTCGAAATGATCACCGGTGTGATCGAGCGCGAGTGACAATCTCGACGCACGACACTTCGCTCGCGTAACGAGTGGGGAGTCGTTGCCTGATAATCCCCGGGGAAGAAACGCGCGTTCCCCTTGCAAAAGAGATCGAACAATTCCGCACGGAGCTGGCGCGCGAGATCATGGCGAATATTTATAACTTTATCGCGTGGATGAGTAATTTGCATACATATGTCTGCCTCGAGGTGTAATTCCAGTTTACATATTTGCTCATACGGCTAATTTAATCGGCCGCGTCAAGCTAAAATTCACCGTCACTGATAGCAGAGAAACATTAGTGAAAAAATAGATGGATTTATTTATAAAGCGTTCTGGAACATTGTTTCCCCAAGCGCAAGAACGATATGCAAACAGAGATCGACTCATTGCGTTATATACGTATATAGTGTGACATGAGTTGCGATCACATTGGTGTGTTTCGAAAGAAAATAAGGTATGAAAGAAGTGAGCAAATTTCAATTTATTGCCAAGAAAACACCCACCAAACAGTCTCTAAATTACACTGTCCAACAAAATTTAATTTCTTTTTCCTGCGGCGATCATAGCCAAGTCCGCCAGGAAAAAATGCCCATCACATTAAGTTTTTGAGATAAATCAAGTAATATGGAGTAAAATCGAGTAAAAAATTATGGATAAATCGAGTAAAAAACTGCGTTTTTTGCCATATTTACCAATTTTTTGTGGCCAAACAAAATTTTATTTTTTTATTTTATTGACGCCATTTTAAAATGCTATTCTTCATCTTTAAAACGAATTGTTATTTTGTACTATGCAATTTTTTCATCGAGTTATAAACGTTTTTCAAAATGTAAAATGTCGGATCTAAATTGGCTGATTGAAACTGGAAAGTAGATGGATTTGTATGAAATAGGTATCCTAGTGTTTTCGGAGTCGCTAATGCCGAATCTGAAAATCAAAATTTCATAACAGCGACCCCAAAACCCCGAGTACTAACTTTGATCCGAATTGAGTTACTTTTCTTATTTCGGTCTGCCATATTGAATCCGCCATTTTGAATTTCGAAATTTTGAGTTCAGATTTGGCGTCAGCGATCCCGAAAACCCTAGAATACCCATTTTCATACAAATCCATCTACTTTCCAGTTTCAATCAGCCAATTTAGATCCGACATGATTTACATTTCGGGAAACGTTCAGAATTCGGTGAAAAAAAATCGTACAGTAAAAAATAAAAATTCGTTTTAAAGGTGAAGAATAGCACTTTAAAGTTACATCAATGAAATTGAAAAATAAAATTTCATTTGGCCTAAAAAAATTAATAAATATGACAAAAAACGCAATTTTTTACCCATATTACTCGTTTTATCTAAAAAACCTGATGTGCATTTTTTGCCGGCAAATTTTCAGCGACCTCAAATTTATTAAGAAATATTAGCCTTTGTCGCTGCAGATTTTTTTGTTGAAAAAAATTTTGTGTTATTAGAACATCCTGCAGAAAAAAATTGAATAAAATCTTGATTTGAATGTTTTTAGGGAGAAAGAGGGAGAAACAGAGATGAGGTGAGAGGATACACAGATAACAAAATTGCATTTCCGTGTGAATTTCGCGAATGAAGTTCATTCGAGTGAAAACTTAATTCGCGAATGAGCTGCAAAGATATATGGCGCTAGAGGTTGAAAGATCGGGACTGCTCTCTCGGCCGTCTTTTCGAGAAACTCACCGGTAGAAACGCCGCACGTGTTCCTTGTTCGATTGTGATGAATTCCCTTCAGATGGGCCACGCTTCACTCGCGGCGTTCAATCGTCGCGTTTTGCACGATTACCTTTAAAAATGCGAAACTGCAGGTTTCATCGAAAGCTCTCGATGGCTTTTCGAGATTGACGAGATTTCTAAATACACAATTACATTAAATAATCGAGGCGATTAGACTATCAAGAGTCGCTCCGCCATTAGTCAACCGCACTTTACATAATATTGTCGTGTCCGACACGGTCGGTGCTTAAACAATGAGAGACGATGGCATCGCTTTTTTCCTCCGCGACGCAGAAGATTCGCCGCGTTCTCATTAAGTGTTTTATAATTTTTCGCCATTTTGTTGCTATTAGTATCATCCGTATCGTCATTGCTATCGCTTGCATCGCTGAATTATCGATTAGATTTGATCTATGGAACTTTTACAGCAAAATGACTGCGCGATTCTTCCCAGAGTATTTTTTTTAAACAGGCATATCTAAATTTCTTTTTTCTTTATCGCCGTTTTTTTGGAGAATTTTCAAAAGTAGAATATGTACAATTTTCATTCACATTTGTGAATTGAAGAAAATATAATAATTTAAGTAAATCAAAAAAAGGAATTTAGTGTTTCATCACGAAAATTCCGCGGGCATATCATTCGAAGGCTTCAATTAATATAAGTGGAACCAATGTATCGATTGATTACAATTACGAGATTGGAGTATTATCTCTTATGGAAAATAACATTTGTGATTAGGTTATCGGGGTGTCTTATTTTCTCCAGCGGTTGAGCACCTCGAACACCTGATAACCCAAATACAATTTCTCACCGCGATTTTTCCTGCCTCGCCGAGATCTGTTTCATTTTTTCGTGTTTCCTTTACGTCAGACAGGTCCCTTAATTCCCGGCCGCGTCTTACTTTCGACAAATTTTTCCACGGCTGCGCCCGCAGTACGTAACAACGATGTTCCAGCGCGCGCGCGCTGATCAATCACTCCGCCGTGATCGATAGACGGGCACTCGTCCGTCGGTTCTTGCCGAGGCGGTGGAAAAATCGCGTGATCGATGAAGTTAAAAGTGCAATCCCTCGAAATGATATCGCGCAAATGGCAGGGATACAAAGCGCCGTAGTGGACAAGCGGTATTTCGCGCGGGAGATGGAGGAGAGGAGACGGATAAATAATGTATCCGCCGTAATCGCGGCGCGTTTCTTTCGACTCCGGGTAAGGAACAGTAGGTCACCCGGTGCGACGGAAAACGCGCCGAGACCCGATGTTTCTATTAGAGACAAATGGCTGCCCTGACCTCCTCCAATTGCGCGACAACCGAGCCGCGGCGGATTTTTTTTTCTCGCGCTCCCTCGAAGACCCGCGACGAATGGTTCGCGAACGTGAACGGTTAACGACGATACGATGATACAATTATGGTAATATAACGACAATACGCGGTAAGAAATCCAAAGCAACATCGGGTAAAACAAATCAATATTCGCGGCGCGCTAATTCCGCGCTAATTCCGAACGAGAATACCGAACTGGTGATTCAAAACATTTAATAGTGCATTAATGGGTGCATTACCGACGATAATCGCGTATAGCGCGACGAGAAACTGAGGAAAAAGTGTTTCGTATTTGTAACTGTTATCACATAGACAAATAATTATTACGAATTGTGTGTCAAGGAAATAATTTTTTATTAAATTCCACTGTGTAATGTTAGTAATGATAACTTTACATGCATGTTACTACTATCATTTCGCGACGAAAGATATGGTGGTTGAGATCAAAACTAACTAGGGGTAAATTGAATAGCGGCGGAATTTGGATAATATTAAGCGTTTGCGACAATTTCAGAAAAATATGAGACGCCTTGTTTTATGTTTCAGGTTAACACGTTATATATTCATATTTTTATGCTATATATCATATTTTTCTGAAATTTTCGCAAACGCTTAATATTATCCAAATTCCCCCGCTATTCAATTTACTCCGCTGTACCTTATAATTTCAGTTAATCTTTTCCTCTCTTAGTACAAAAAATTCGGTTGTTAAATAAAAGGATAATCGTGTATGCACGCGTTCCCTGAAATAAGGGAAAAGAGAAGCGGATAGAAAAGATTGGCGGATAGAAACTCTCGCGATCGCGAGCCCTCGTTAAAACGGCGATCGGCGAAGCCTTTACACGTGTAAAAGTAACCTCGTATAAAATTGCAGCCATTCATACTCCGCACGCTCCGGAGGAAAAATACAGAGCCGGCTATCTATCATCCGTGGAGCTTCATCGTGCTCCGAAGCGGGAAATGCTCCGCGCGCTCCGGGAATCTACGTGAGTCTACCGCGTGATAGAATGCGCGTCCTCGATTACTATTTCATACGTTAAGCCGGCGCAATGTACGCGCGTCGCTAACGAACCAACGTCCGCTCGGCTTCCGTGTCTTCACGAAAACTAACAATCACTCAGCTTACGTAATAAAGTGCGCAGAGGACGTCCTCGTGTGACGGATGGACAGACGACGGACAAGCCTTTCGAACACGACGCTTGTTCTCGCGCGGAAAATGTGTCGTATCTCGTAATCGTACTCATAATCTCTAAGCTGTATCTTCCGCTAAAATTCTACACTTAAAACTGATAATTCGTTAGACTGTAAGATATTTTTGTGTCAAATTTAACACATTTTACATGTCCCAATTTATTCGCTTTAATTTTTGCGTTATTTTAACACGCGGCGAATATATGGACAAATAGCAAAACTCATCTATACACTTTGCGTATAAGATATATTTCACCGAGAATTGTAACTCTTATACATTTACATTAGATGGATTGCGTTATTTGGAATTCGGATGCTCAGAAATGGTAGATTCTTTGTAAATTCAACGCAGAATATTCAACGACAATATTCAAATAATACAACGACAATAAATCGAATTTATTAGATTGAGACACGGGAATGTTAAAAATTCACAGATAAAAGTTTTTATA